ATTATTTTAAAGATAAACTTGAAACTCAAAAATGTGCACTTATCTTAAGTCGTCAATTGAAAATGGAACATCTAGAGATCATTGTTAAAGATTGTTTAAATATGCCAGAACTATTTAAACCATATGATGATGCATTAGAAATCCTAAATAATGAAAAAATTGAGAGCGTGAATAAAGCAAAAGAGCTATCTCAGCAGAAAGCTGATACAATGGAGAAAATTGCTTGGCAACTTTTACATAACTCTTACAGGTAAATATTAAAATTGCTAAAAAAATTTATATTCGGAAGCTAATTTATTTTTAAACGTATCGGTATAGTTCATTCGAAGAAGCATGTTCAGGTAAACATCGCTTAACGGTTAAATTAATCCATAAATGCTTTCAATTTTATAATTTTTTCTATATATTTCTATAGATTCTCATTCAACTAAAAAAAAATCTGAAGAAAAAAGTAAGCAGTTTATGATTTTGATGATCCGGATTGATTTGATTAAATTTATTTTCCTAAACTTGATGCGTTTAAGAAGCGGCAGAGGAAAACCAACCGAGCAAAATAACTCGCGAAGTTGATGAAACAAGTAATTTTTATTATTTTATTCTATATAGTAATAAATTGGATATCGATATGCTGATTTTGTTTCAAATATGTAGCTATTGAAGAATTACGGGATGAATACCCAGATATATATTCTGAGATCCAGAAAGCTGTATATCGTATCGATTATATTCCATGGCAAGAACTCAAAAAGAAGTACATTTTTGCAAAGCTTTGCATCTCTTCCGATCAAAATCAATCTGACGGCGACGAAGGAATCTCAATATTAGATTGTCTTGATAAAAATAAAAGTGTTTTGTCTCTCATAAAAAATTTCACACAACCTACAAAGGAAGGAATAATTAAAGCAGCAAAAAATTTTTTTATGGGTTTATTAGGTGAAAAGGATGAATCAGCAGACATTACTTACAATATATTGCGGAAAGTAAACGAGAAAGCACAAGAAAGTTCGGATGATATGTTCCTTAAACAACTTCTCGAAGATAATGTTAATGATACACGTGTCATATCAGTCTTTTTCAATGAATACGAGAATTGGAAAAAATTTACATTTTCTAAAGTAGCGAAAAGAATTTCGCAGAAGGTTCTTAACTCTGACTCCGCAAATATTGCTTTTATTGAAAAAGAATTTCGTCAAAAAGTACACGACATCAAAATAGCAAATTTGGAAACAATTCGTGTCGAAGCTGAGTCTAAATATCCAGAGGGTGAACTTTTTGCAGTTTT